GTTACTAACAGTCACCCTTTAACACAGCTTTGTTTTCTGGTGAAAGTGATAAGTCTTATTCTTTCAATTTATTATGATCACGCACACATCCGCGCCTGCACAGTGCCCGAACGTGTCCCAGGCAACTTTCCCATAGCTTCTCCTAAGATCTTAGCTTAGATTTCATTTTTTTCTGGGAGGTGCTTCTTCCCCAAACCCCATCAAGACTAAGTCAGGAGTCCTTCCTAGGTCCCCTGGCAAAAGGAAAATGTCAGGTGCCATGCTGTCAGAATGCTTATAAATACACAGACTACAATATGTCATAACAACACAAACCAGAGCATTTCAGCATTTCAAACTTAACTGTAGTGAAAGACCAAAATTTTTATTGTAGCTGTTGGTGCGTGTTTTAATTTCTAATTAGCTCTTGTAAAATTAACATTAACAGATGTTGAGACAGTGTCAAATTGCTAAAGGAGTTTCTAAACACTCTCAATTTCAGTACTTAATGTGTACTTGTTCATGAACCTGACAATAAGTGGTACTTATTGTCATAGACTCTTCACTATTAAAGGTAACAAGTTGTCCACAAACAGAATTGAAAATAATTAATTCAAGTTAACCTTAAAGTACCATCTAGAAATTTGGGGGTAAATCTGTGTTAAAAAAAAAAAAAAAGAATGGAATAGTAGAAAGGAATTACCCTTATAAGAAGAAAAAGTCAAAGGCCAGGAAGGTCATAGGAATGGGCAGCAATAAAGAGAAAGTGACAGGTAGTAAGTAGATAGCCACCCATTCCTTCTGTCTTCTCTTGTGCTAAAGCTTATGACTTTATTCACATAGCAAGCATTTATCCCTGGCTTCCAAATACGCATCTTACCACCAATTTCAATAAAAATGCAGAGTAATGCTGTTTTATACAATTAGATGTAAAGATACAAAATAGCCAACACGTGGGTGGTTCCTTTCTTTTTTTTTTTCACTAATCCCATGACAGATAAGAGTGATCCTTTTCTTGAGGAAAGCCTTCACTAGAACATGTAGCCTAACACATGTATATTCTCTCACTCTTCTTGACCTAGTTTCCTTTGCCTTTCCAATTAGGCTATTACCATTATATCACATTTCCTTTGTGTGGTCCTTATTTTTCAGTCGTCAAAATTCAAGGTGTATGTTTACAAGCCAAACTATGTACAGTAACTTGAAATTTGATTATAAGAAAATAAAACAAAAAGATACTTCTTACAAACACAAAGACCTGCAACTTGGTGTGAACTACCCATTGACCATTAGCATTATCTTTATGTCTGCTAATGTCTAAATATATTATTTATATTTGAATATTATACACATTTAAAATTATGTAGTCCTGTTAACCAAGATAAATACTAATTCTCACAAAATCCAAAGAAAATGGAGTAATGAAACACCATAAAAATAGTATATGCAGTATAGTCTGAATATTATCCCACCAATAGAAAAGTCAATAGAGCATTTTAAGCAAGTGGGTTGTAGGATAAAATTTGTGTTTTGAAAGGTCACTGACAGCAATATGGAAGATGAGATGATAAAGTTCTGCAAATAGTGAAAGGTTCTAGTGAAGAAGAGCAGAGGGAGTGGAGATGATAGATGATGAGTGGAGGATGTTGTTGCCTCTGCTGTTGCTAATCACAATGAAGATGCTGGGATGAACTGCCATATATATGGAAGCATATTTGCCAAACACTGTGCTTAGCACTTTATATGCATTATCTAATTTGATCTTCCCAAAACCCCTATAACCCTATAATAGGTGCTGTTATTATTTCCCCATTTCCTGATGAAGAAATTAAGGTTTATCAGTTATGTAGCTTGCCCAAAGACATACAACTAGTAAATACCAGAGTTGTGAGTTCACGGGTAGAATCAGTGGTATTTACCTACTCCAGCACCTTGTCCCCTTCTTTCAGTAACAAAAAACAATGTAACCCCACCTCATTTTTTTCCAGAACATAAATAAAGTAGATGTGATGAGCAATTACTTCTAATGGAATTTTTAAAAATCAGAACAAAGAAATGGCAGCACCTTTTGCTCTTTTAGAGAAAATTACATAATGTGATAGGAAAGTGTGTTACTAACCCACACTAAATTTTTCAGAAAGAATCTCATCCTTAAGGGATGTATTTTTTTAAAAAACATGCCTGACAAATTACTGTACACAGAATCCGATATGACATAATGAGTCCATAACAGGCCAAGCCTTACTCAGCTAAATTTTGACTTCTAAATTTTGACTACTAAAACTAAACAAAATCCTCAGACAGCTTATGCTGATACAAAACCTAAAGGAAAGGTTTGACTATTGAACTACATTAGAAACAAAAATTTTTAAAATTCTAAATATACACATATCTGAATCACAATTACTTTTTCATTTTTTCCTTTAGAGACAGGGTCTCATTCTGTTGTCCAGGCTGGAGTGCAGTGGCACAATCACAGCTCACTGCAACCTCAAACTCCTGGGCTCAAGCGATCCTTCTGTCTCAGCCTTCCATGTTGCTAGAATTACAAGCACACACTGCCATACCCAGCTAGCTTTTTAAAATTTTTTTATAGAGACAGGATCTTGTTATGTTGCCCAGGCTGGTCTCAAACTCCTGGTCTCAAGCAATCCTCCTACCTCTGCCTTGCAAAGTACTGGGATTATAGGCATGACCCATTGTCCCTGGCCAAAATTACTCCTTTATATAAATTTGGGTATGTTACAGACCCAAATAATGATCCTGATGATATGAACATAAATAAAATTATAAGATCATAACTCTCTTCATTAGCTGTCCATAAGGCATTTAACCGTTGAACATTACAGAGACTCTATCCTGGAAAGCTTTCTAGATTTTCCTTAGAAAAATGTCCAACATTTTCTCCCATCATTGAAGAGTTAATTTGAGGAAAACAAGATTTATAGAACAATAGCCAAATTCTGTGGAAAGACCAAAGTGGAGATTCAATTTTATAAAAGTAAAAGTTTATTCTGGCATTTAACTTCAATTTAAAAAAAAAACATGAAATCTTAAAATGAGCTGAAAAAACAATTCAGTGACTTACCTCACTGTTTTATTTATTGATTTATTTTACTATGAGCCCCAGCTTAACTAAGAATACCAGCACTTAGTAGTGTGAGTTAGTTAACAAGAGAAAAAGTAACAGATTATATCTGCAAAAGCTACCTGAGGGCAACCACACACCAAGTTTTCCCTTCAGTCCTGTTACCTTCATTGAACCCATAAAGACAAAATCAAGAGAATATAAAAAACATCTATAAGCATAAAAATCTTCCATCTGTATACTTATTAATTTATTGTCTATTTGTATTTATGTGTTATTATCTCTCTCTTCTGCATCATCAAAGAAAGTTTAGAGTCAGAAAAGCTACCACTGAAGGAATTAGCTCCTGATTAGGCAAACATTTAAACAATGAAACAGCAACTCAAGAAGTGTTTTCAAGTCTACCTGATTAAAGTATTCCCCAGCCATTCAAAACAACTAGTTGGTCTTATTTTGGCAATAAAACTTTGAAATAGAGGACTAAATATTATTAGAGGTTACAAATACATCAGATCACATCTGATTACTATATTCAAAACTTCTGCTAAGCCCTTACGTTTTGTTAGTATTGTTTTGGTTTATACTAAGTAAATAATGAAATTCTTTTTCATAACCATTCTTATGTCCCTTTTGTTTGTAGTTTGTTCTGTCTCATAAACTAGTAAGTTTCTCTGGGACAAGAGCTACAAAATCAATCTATTTCTCTGAATTTTTTGAATGAAGTATTTTATTACACTTTGTATCCCAACCACTTAACATAGATCTATTACAAACAAATATTAAATAAAACGCTTCATTTATAGAATGAATAATCCCTCACAATGCATACAATTGGGGTCTGACTTCAATCTCAATTCCATTTTACTCCATTTTCTATCTTGCACTCAGAAATTATTTTCTTAAAACACCAAAATAAACTTCATTGCTCTCACATCAAAAATCCTTTCACGGCTTTGTAGCAAACGACACATAGGCTCCCATTTTCATGAAATTTGGACATTTCAAATTTGTTATAAAAGCATTTTACCTCTGAGCTTATTTGGTTGGATTCAAAATACATATGAAAGAGAAAGCTGAATTTGAAAGTATATTTCCTTAACCTTCTAGATCATATTTTAAAAATTTACTATTTTAAAAACTATTCACCATATTATATGCTTAGAAAAAAGCTACATATTTAATATACTTATTTCTTTTGTCAATATTTGTTAGTCACTAATGTATATATTAAAAAATACAATAATATGATGAAATAAAAGAGAAAAAATACATCACACTGTGAAAGCGTATTCACTCACTGTATGAACATTTTTATATAAGATGTAATATGCGAAGAATGAAGAGTCAGACCAGTTTCACAATCAAAATAAGTTATATATAAACTGCCATTTATGTTTTCAGAATAACAATTAAAATTTTCTTCTGTGCTTTTGTCAAACAGGAAATTCGTAATTTAATAAATTTATAGGCTGGGAGCCACAGCTCACACCTGTAATTCTAGCACTCTGGGAGGCTGAGGCAGGAGAATTGCTTGAGCTCAGGAGTTGAGACCAGCCTGAGCAAGAGTGAGACCCCATCTCTACTACAAATAGAAAAAAATTAGCCAGGCATGGTGGCACATGCCTCCAGTCCCAGCTACTCGGGAGGCTGAGGCAGAAGGATTGCTCAAGCCCAGGAGTTTAAGGTTGCTGTAAGGTTGTTGGGCTGATGCCATAGCATTCTAGCCAGGGCAACAGAGAGAGACTCTGTCTCAAAAAAATAAAAATTAAATAAATAAATAAATTTATAAACAGACACCTAGAATATAGGTTCATACTATCAGTTGCTTTATTAAACCTTTTTTGTACAATTCCAAATAAAGTTTTGTCTTTTTAAAAGAAATCTACAAAAAAGAAAGAAAAAGAAAAAAGAAATCTACTTTCAGTTAGCCTACCTTCCACACTCAAATTTCCCATTTTAGATTCCAAGAAATCAAATAATGTGCTTGGTGCTGATGGCCTTGCATTTCCCAGGTCCTCTTCATCTTCAGATCTTACTCGCCCTCTGCCTTTTCCTCTACCTTAAGATTTAAAAGCAAGAAATATATTTATTGTATATGCAAAAACAAAAGGAGGAAATACATTAAAATATAATCAGCAATCATTATAACATTTTAAGTAGGATTTTGTTTTCCATTTCTTTTCATGTTTTTCTGTATAGTCTATACCTTTTATAACAAAAAAGTTTTGTTTTGTTTGTTTTTTAAAGAGACAAGGTTTTGCTATGTCACCCACGGTGGAGTGTAGTGGCTATTCATAGGCACGATCATTGTGCATTGCAGCCTTTAATTCCTAGGCTCAAGTGATCCTCCCACCTCAGCCTCCTCCCAAGTAGCTGGGACTACAGAGATGGGCCACTGCACCCAGCAGAAGTTTTTGAATGATTATATTAAATAGTTCCTTTAATCCTCTAAATGATCTATTCAGAAATTTGAATTTGTTCATATATATTATCTTTTAAGGAAAAAATCATTTTTACAAAATTTCTGCTTAATTACAGACTTTTTAATAAAGAACATGGGACTAAGACTTGAAAAATCACATAACACATTTGACCATTCAATGATTAAAGAAAAACTGTGAGCCAGATGCAGTGGTGCACACCTATAGTCCCAATCAATCAAGAGGCTGAGGCAGGAGGATTGCTTGAACCCAGGAGTTCAAGACAAGCTTTGGCAACATCTCTACAAAATAGACCTCATCTCTTAAGAAAAAAAGGAAGAAGAAAGAAGGAAGAAGAAAGAAGAAGAAAGACAAAGATGACCAAGTAAAAGTTATATTCTCATTAATTTTAAAAAGTTTACAAGTCATTTATACAAGTGGCACAATTCTAGAAATAATTATCAGAACTAGTCACTTTATATCATATTTTCTCTATTCCTTATAACAACCCTATTAAATAGGGCATTATTAGACCCAGTTTATATAAAGATGAAAACAATGAAACCGAGAATAACCTGCAAATGTCTCCACAGTTTCCAAACTGGCATTCCTTCCATTTACCACAATGTTAATAATAACTTATAGCGCTCACAGCAATAAAATCCAGCCTCTGTCAATAACATACATTCCACTGAAAAGCAAGCAATATTATCTGGCACATTATTTAATAAATTATACCTCTCAGAGGTGGACCCATAACAGGTTTCTGTTTATTGCTGTTAAGAAGTACATTTAATGCCGCTTCTAAGTTGTTGCCATTATCCATAAGAGCTTGCCTCGATGCTTCCTTACTGAAGCCCATTTCTGTTATGTGCTTCAGAGCCTTCTCATCAACCTGTAAGGAATAGAGAAAAAACCTATGCTGACAGCCCACAAATAAAGCAAGGTATAAGTTTTTAAATAGTCACTGTCTTTTAACTAAAAACTACATCTCATACTCATGGAAAGAAAATATTATACTAATACAACATTCACTTGCTGTTTTTTTCACACCAATAGTCAAGGAAGAATCTCTATGATATGTGGAGTTGTATGCCTTGAACACTCTCTGACTTCACAAGTATCATTGTAAATGCAAAACAAAAAATAAAATTTTATGATATGTTAGAAAATAATATCAACAGTGAAAACTACCTAATGAAAATTTTTCACGGTAAAAAAATAGAAAAATGTTGATATTTCTCCATCCTAGAAAGAAAATGTAATTTACACAGCACCTCTCCAAAAATGCAAAGTATAAATTGAAGCTTACAAAATGGTACCACTCAGTAGTTCTGGGGTTTTTTTACTCTCCATTGCTTCAGTATTCTACTCTATATTCATTAGCGATACTATCTATGAAGCTTTGACAGCTGTACTCCAAATAGGAAAGTCTACTTTATATGTGCCAGAATCCAAATCTTGAAAAATCTAGACCTGAGTAAATTCACAAACCACTTAATTGGCATAAACCTATCCCATAAAGAAATTTCTTGAACCAAAGCCAGCCAAGGAAAACATAACTTTACCTTTTGTACATCTAAGCGTTAACATGGATAGATGCTTTAAATTAGCCTACGCATGGCATGCAAGTTGCAGACACCCATTGTGATGTCCGTGTAGACACTGATAAAAGCACAGTACTTTTTTCCAAGCCCCGTGTCACAGAATCCCTCTAAACACAGTAGCTATTACCAACAGATCAGAGTTGAGAGAAAATCTACTTACCATCCTTGCTATAGATATGCTAAAGTAAAGGAAAAAATAGCTGGACATCAAAACTATTATTTTTACCTTTCTTATTCAAAAATTAATCTGAACATGGTAATGAAACCTTCCTTCTCCAAATCGTCTTCCAAAGAAATATGTAATTAAGAATATTGTCCCATATGTAGAACTTGACCAAAAAATACTTTAAATGATCCATTAATATGCAATCTGCTTCTTGGTATAACTTATTCTACCTTTCCCGTTGACCTGATTTGCAGTTAACCAAACGCCCAATCACAGGTATTAGCAAGGCCAAGCTATCTCTAATGGTTCCAGGGGAGAATTCTTCCTTGACTCTTCTAGCTTCTCTTTTTTGCTGGCAATCCTTATCACGTAGATGCATCAGTCCAGTCACATGGCCATCTTCTCCCTGGGTGTCTTCAAGTCATCTTACCTCTGTATGTGTCCATCTTTGTGTTCAAATTACCCCTTTTAACACGGAGACCAGTCATATTGGATTAGGGCCCATCCTTATGTCCACAAAAAGATTTGTTCAAGTCCTAACCCCCACCCAGTATCTCAGAATATGGCCTTATTTGGAAATAGTGTCCACAGAGGTTATCAAATTAAAAAGAGGCCATATTTCTGTCAGATACAGAATTCTTGGTTGAGCTTTCTTTTCTTCAGTACTTTGAATATATCCTTATATTTTTTTAATATTTCCTTCAGTACTCTGAATATATCATTCCACTACCTTCTGACTTCCATAGTTTCATGTAAGAAATTGGCTGTTACTCTTACTGAAGATCCCTTGTACTTGATGAGACACTTCTTAATGTTTTCAAGATTTCTCTTAAAATAATTTACTTATAAAATGTGTCTTGATCTGAATCTTGAGTTTATCCTACTTGGAATTCACTAGGTTTCTTGGGTTTACAGATTCATGTCTTTCATCAAAGTTGGGATTTGGGACCATTATTTTTTCAAATATTTTTTCTGCCCCTTTCTCTGTCTCTTTTTCCCACTAGGAATCCAATAATACATATATTGGTACCTTTGATGGTATCACATAGGTCCCTTAAGCTCTGTTCACTTTTCTTCACTCTTTTCTCTTATTACCATTCAGACCGGGTAATTTCAATTACCCTATCTTCAAGTTTGCTGATTCTTTCTTCTGTAAGATTACAAGTCTATCTGCTGTTGAACCCATTTACTGAAATTTTTAATTCCCCCCACTGTACCTTTTAGCTCCAGAATGTCTATTTGGTTTCTTTTTATAATTTCTCTTTATTGATATTTCCTACTGTTCATACAGTGTTCTCCTGGTTTCCTTTAGTTCTTTGTGAATGGTTTTCTTCAGACCTTTGAGCATATCCAAGATAGTTAAAGTCACTGTCTAGGAAGTTCCATGGCTGGGCTTCTTCACAGATGGTTTCTATAGATTTGTTTCCTTTGAATGGGACAAACTTTCCTGTTTGTATGCTTTTCAATTTTTTGTTGAGAACTGGACATTCTGAATACTGTAATTTGGTAACTGGAAATCAGATTCCTCCTCCTCCCCAAGTATTGCTGTTGTTGCTTGACAAAGTCTACAAACATCAATATGTCTAGTGACTTTTCTAAACTTTTTTTTGCAAGAAATATATTCTTAGTGATGTGTGATCACAGAATCTTTGTTCTATCATCTTTGTGGTCAGCCAATGACCTGCATCTTTCTTCATCATTCATTACCATGGATGCTACAAGTATTTGACTAGGCCTGAAGTTCTAAAATAGTTGCTTCACAGCTCAATAGTTGCTTTGGTGGAGGGTCTGACTCCTAGAGCTTTCTACTCCACTATCTTTGTGATGTCATTTCCTTCACATATTTTTAATCTTTACAGCACCCCCAATCTGCTAACCTCTGGTGTTTTTTGTCAAGACATCCCCAGAGAAGTGTTCTTAATTTAGAATCTTCTTGAGTTAGGGACTATCCCTTTTTCAGCTCACTGTATCCACTCTCCATTGCTATTTAAATTCAATTTTAAAAAAATGAGATGGCCTCTTCAAGGAAGAGATAGCCTGGCCCATAGTTATAAACCTATTCCCCTTTACCAATGATTGATATAGAAGTAGGTATGTGGCCTAATTCTCGCCAATATGACAGAAACAAAAACTTCCTAGAGATTTGAGAAAAAATTTTCTTCTGTGATAAAATATACCTACACCCAGAAAAATTTCCCCCTTTCTTTTCTGCCTTGAACTTTTTCTGTGAAAATTTAGCTTGTAGAGAATCCTGTAATTCTGAGGAGAAAGCAAGGAAATCATGGAGATACCCACAGAAATCTCTAATATTGAATTTTTCAACCTTTGTAACCATCGTCCTCTGGGCTTCTTTTCATATGAGATAGTAAACCCCCATGGTTTAAGCTAGTCTTAGGTATTCTGTATCCTACAGACAAAATCAACCAAAGTCATTCAACTTCTAAAGGCAGAGGAAAATGAATTCTTGCCAACTCCCTGAGATCTGAGGACACTGTAGCATATCAGAAATAACTTTGATTCTTCTCATTTATCTTAAAAATTCTAGCTGGGTATGGTGGCTCACGCCTGTAATCTTAGCACTCTGGGAGGCCAAGGCAGGAGGATTGCTTGAGGTCAGCAGTTCGAGACCAGCCTGTGCAAGGGCAAAACCCCGTCTCTACTAAAAATAGAAAAAATTAGCCGGGTGTGGTAGTGCATGCCTATAGTCCCAGCTACTCAGGAGGCTGAGGCAGGAAGATTGTTTGAGCCCAGGAGTTGGGGTTGCGAACGAGGCTGATGCCATGGCACTCTAGCTCAGGTGACAGAGCAAGACTATGTCATAAAAAAAAAAAAAATTCAGGTATATTTTGCAATTGAGTACATAATATACATGTGCTTGTTTCAATATATTCTTCCCAGAGAGCAACAGAAAACAAAACAAAATCACTTTAGAGAAAATTTGAGACAAGATGTGGGGAGACGGGAGAAAGGCAGAAAACTGTATGTTTTTGATGCATCAACTTTTGATGGCTTTTTATTAATCCATGCCAAAGACATTATTCAGATATTAGTAATTTAGGTGAAATAGAAGTTTTAAGTAAATTATTTTTCAAACAATCCAAATTTTTCATGAGTTAATTGTAATCTCTAACAAAAGCCACCTTAGAGTTGTAACATCTATACATAATACACTGAACAAAGCGAGTAGTGGTTGTGAGAAAAAAAATAAAAGGATCATTGAGACTATTAAAGGAAGAATACATTAACTTTGTGGTTGATTCTTTAGCCTTACCAGTTCTCTATAAACACCTTCATGTTTCCCCTCTGATTTGGTTGACTTTTCTTTTGGTAAAACTTCCCTATTTCGATTACCAGCAGCACTCATATTGAGATTACTTCTAGCACCACCACCACCTCCTCCAAATGTCTTGGTCTTTAAATAAGAGAAACATAAAAGATATGTAAGTAAACAGAATTCAAAAATAGCCCTAAAAACTAAGTTATGGCTAAACGCATCTAGCAAAACTGAATTATAAGTTCCTTAATTATGTTTTACATGAAAAAATGAAATGTGAACTTATAAACAGCACAAATATCTACTGGCCAAAATCTCTTCTTTTCACAAGCCCAGGCCAAACAATAAAAAAATACATGATTATAACTTTTAAGTCTCTCCAACACAAGTCATCAAAATAAATTTAAGTGCACAAAAATATAGAAAAAAATAAAATACAACCATTATGGAGATTAGTTGCCAAAATGACTCTGGGTTAAAATACTTGACAGGTGTGTCCTGGGTTCTAAATCTAGCTACCAAAGTTATCCTTAGCAAGGGACTAAACCTAAAAATCAGTTAAATTATGTCCATGGTCCAGTAATAGCCCATAATCTTAAAAAGTAAACAAAAAATACAAATTTAAACAGATTAAAACTCTCATTACTAACATTATTTATATTAATCACTTATTAATAATATGTCATTTCTTACCAATTACATATAAATGCTTTAAGTCCACATTTCTTATTTTGTCTGTCTTATTTGAATAACTAAATATATAATTAAATTTGAAAATTTGATTTGATCTCATTTTTATTTTTTCAAAGCTATTGTGAAAAGACTAGAACACAAAAAAATGTTGATTTGGAAAGATACAAATCCTTGACTAAAAACATCCCACCATTGTTACTTATACAATATCAAATTAAACATCTGGTTACATAATATTTTTATAGTTCTAATAGATTAATACAGGAGGTAAAACCTGATTTTTTGAGAGATAATGACTAGTATTTTAAAATGCATTTTAAAGTGATTGCAGTAAAAAAAATCGCTGAGAAATTATTTTAAATCAGATGAAAATATAAAGCAGAACCTGAAAAATAGAAAAATGATGTTAGACAGGCATTAATGGATAAGACATTTAGTATCTCTATTAGATAGCTGATATACCACAATATTTAAATTTAATTCAAATCAAAATTGAAAGACCAAAGAAAAGACTCATTACTGGATTCATTCAATTTTTGGTTTATAGAATCCCAGCAAAAATATATATTTGAAATGTCCTCATAGTCATTATTTGTATAACTATAAAAATGTGTTTATATTAATGTGATACAAAATTTCTTAGACTGGGAGGCAATGTAGCATAGTTAAGAACACAGGCTTTGGAGCTAGACAACACTGGGACTAATCTTGGCTCAGCCATTTACTAGCTCCTAACCTCAGGCAAGTCATTTAAGTTCAACATTCCACTGAGTCTCAGGTTTTCCATCCTTAAAACAAGGATGAGAAAACATACCTCACTGGGATATTGTGAGGATTAAATGAAATCATTGATATAAAGTGATTATCTCAGTAACTGGCACATGGCAAACACTCAATAACAGATGGCAATTACTATTTTGGTTAACATACTAGAACATAGTTACCTGAAAGGTCTGGAGCCTGACCTGTTCCAAATTTAATATATTTCCGGAATTTACATTCCGTAACTCCAAAAGTGCTTTTTCTTTTGGTGCCAGTGAAATAGTCCCATCTTCTGGATGCATTTCCTTATTATTTTCTTTCCAGTTTAATGGATTAAGGAATAGGATAAATAGCTTTTTCAGAATTGCTTTTCACTGCTATAAAACAGTTGTTACTCACTAAAAATATAAATACCTGGAACCATCACAACTTAAACATTACCCACAAGGTAACCAGTGTTGTGTGAGCTACATCGTCTTGTTCATATTATGTGAATCAAGCATCCATGAGGTCATCATGACTAAGAAACTCTAGCTGGCCCTTAATGCTGCCAACTAGCAATCTTACTATATTTCTCTAGCCCATTCATATTCCCAATCTTCTAGATCACTATCACGTTCTCCTCACTTCTCAAGCCTCCAACACCTTCTCCCCCATTGTCACTGTTGACCTTCTTACTACTTTACTAAAAAAACTGATATTATTAAAGAACTTGCACAGATTTTTGCCACATCAACTCACAAACTGGTTTCTGCAGTTATACTTTATCTTAAACCATATATTTTATCTTACCACCCTATATATGTTAAGAAGAATGTGGAGGAAATAAATGACCTCCTTGATTCTCTATTAATTCTCTGTCCTCATCATATATAACTTTTCATCTGCCTTTAATAAGTTTAAATCCCTTCCTCCATGATATATTTTCTGCAATTTCTTATTTTTATCCTGTGTTACTGGTCACAGGTTGGCTGGTTCAACTTCTTCCATCTAACCTCTAAGGTTGAAATTCTACAGAATTCATATCTTACCCTTTTCTATTCTCTATCAATACTCATTCTTTTGGTGATCTCATTTGACCTCATGATTTTAAATATCAATTATATGCTTATAACTCTCGACTGCATGTATCTATTCCAAAGCTTACTCTTCAGTCCTACCACCTATTAAACATTACTACATGCATGTCTGATAGGCACCTCAATAGTCCTATGTTCAAAATGAAGTACCAGATCTTCCTCTCCTCACACCTGCTCAACTCCAGTCTTCTCATTTCAAGATGAGCAACTCTAACCTGCCAATGTCTCAGGGTAAAGCTTTTAGAGTCATTCTTAATACCTCATCTTCTCTCACAACCCATATCCAATCTGAGAAATTCTGATGGCTCTACTTTCAAAATTCTAGAATCTCACCACCTACACACCTGCTATTTTTGTCCAATCCACCATGATTTTTTTTCATGGATTACGTCAATAATTCCCTAACTTGTCTGATTCCATTTTCCTTCTCTACAACCTACTCTGAATACAGCAGCCAGAATTAGCCTTTTAAAATATAGGACAGCTGATGTTATTGCTGTCCTCAAAGCATTCCAAAGGCTCCCTCATTTCTCTCTGAATGAAGTCCAATGTCTTTATGATGGCTTACAGGGCCCTACATAAACTGACCTCCATTATCTCTCTTGACTCTATCTTCTACTAATTGTCCCTTTGCTCTCTCTGCTTGCACTGGCCACCTTGCTGTTCCTTGAACATATGCTCCTGCTTTAGAGCCTCTGTCATGGCTTTTCCTTCTTACTAACCTTTGTCATGGCTTTTCCTTCTTCCTAAAACACTCTTCCTCAGATAACCAAGTAGCTAATTCTCTTACCTCCTCAAGTCTTGGCTCAAATCTTGCTATATTGAGGCCTCAGCAGATTACTATACTTAAAATTGCAATCTGCAACTTACTTATTTTGTATGTTTATATCACTTATAGGTCTATATTACATATAGATTTAGTCCTAGAATTGTCACTTGGTAACTTTGGACAAGTCCCAAGTTTGGTAGTTAGTTGTGAGCTGCCATTAACACTCATATATAAATCGAGAAGTTTTGATGTCTATTTTAGTTCCAAAAAACTATGATTCTTTAATTATCATATGTCCATGGGAGAATATAATGTGATTAATAATGACTTAAAAAAAAAAAAAGAAGCACATTACAACATACTAACTATACTGCAATAAATAGACAGCTGTAACCACATCAAAACCCTTGGGAGGAAAATTTATTTGAAATAAACATAAATCAAAAGAAAAGCTTTATACAATCATTAACAAATATATATTCCCAATATCTTCTTCTCAAATGCCATAATTTTAATATATATTTTGGAAAAAAATAAATATATTTCATGTACACTATATAAAATGCATTAAGAAATGTTAAAAATGATTTTTTAAATGTGCCTTAGAAGACATATTGAAGAAGAGCAATAGTCGTGTTTATTGAGAGATTTGAGTAAGTGTATCATCATCTATGCCAGATAGTAATAGTATTAGTTCTAAATGTTTTAAAGATTATCAATTTTAATTCTCACATACGAAGTAGTTACCATTATCCTCCCCAAGTTTCACAGATGAGGAAAAATGGGATACAAAAGCTAAGTAACCTGTCCAAGGTTGTCAGCAGGATATGTTTCCAGGCTATGATCCCAGAGCTTGTGCTTTTGGCCCCTACACTAGACTGATGATAGACACTGCAGGAAGAACAACCAAAATGCAAGCAGGCTACTACTAAGCATTCAAAATTAAATAGGAAAGCAGTTGTCAGCTAAATGCCATTACAGGTTCTGAATAAAGGAAACTATTTAAATCTCATGACATGTAAAATTTCCTATTACAGTCTATAGAAATTAATAAAGAACTAGAGAAACTCCTATTCCAAATAAGCAAGAAATTCAAAACAAAAGAGAAACCGTGCATGTCAATAGCATAAGACGGAAGGTCTGTTATTTCAGGACATTGGTCTGGGAAAGATTTTTTTGGATAAGACCTCAAAAGCACAGGTAACAAAAACAAAAAGACAAATAGAATTGTAGCAAACTAAACATCTTCAATACAGCAAAGGAAACAAATAACAGAGTGAAGAAACAACCTACAGAATAGGAGAAAATATCTGCAAATTATCCATCTGATAAGGGACTAATATCCAGAATATACAAGAAATTCAAACAACTCAACAGCAAAACAAAAAACTCAAATAATCCAATTAAAAAATAGCCAAAGGATCTGAATAGACATTTCTCAAAAGAAGACATAAAATTGGCTAACAGGCACATGAAAAAATTCTTAATATCACTAATAATCAGGAAAATGCAAATCAAAACCACAATGAGGTAATATTACAGTTATTATAAATTGGAAATTATAAAATGGCAATAATCAAAAAGACAAAAAAAAAAACAACAACAAATACTAGTGAGGATGCAGAGAAAGGGGAACTCTTATATACTTGGGAGTTCTTATACACTTGGTGGGAATATAAATTAGAACAGCCATTATGAAAACAGTATAGAGGTTCCTCAAAAAACTAAAAATAGAAATATCATATAGCTCCAGCAATCTCAGTGCTGGTTATATTTCCAAAGGAAAGGAAGTCAGTATGTCAAAGATACCTTCACTTCCAAGTTTACTGTAGCACTATTCACAACAGCCAAATTATGGAATCAATCCAAGTGTCCATCAGTAGATGAATGGATCTATAGTTGTCTCTCAGTATCCATGAGGGACTGGTTCCAGGATCCCTCTCAGGTACCAAAATCCACAGATGCTTATATAAAATCCACAGTCCCTTATATAAAAAAGGGTCTTATAAAAAAATCCACAGTCCCTTATATAAAATGGTGCAGTATTTGCATATAACCTATGCACATCCTCCTATATACTTTAAATTGGCTCTAGATTACTTTTAATGCCCAATACAATGTAAATACTAAGCAAATAGCTATTATACTATGTTAGGAAATAATGACAAAAAATCTGTACACATTCAGTACAGACACATCCATCCTTTTCTTTTTTTCGAATATTTTCAATCTATGATAAGTTGAATCCACAAATGCGGAATACACAGATACAGAAGGCCAATTATATATACACAATGGAATACTATTCACCCATTAAAAAGAATAAAATCTTGTCATTTGTGGCAACCTGAATAAACCTGGAGTACATTATGTTAACTGAAAAAAGCCAGAAACCAAAGACAAATACCACATGATCTCATTCATATGTGGGAGCTAAAAACGATCTCATAGAAGTAAAGAGTACAACAGTGGTTACCAGAGAGTGAAAAGGGTAAGGGGGAGGGTTGGTCAATGGGTACAAAATTAGTCAGATAGGAGGAATAAATTCTAGTGTTTTATGACATAGCAGGGTGAATATAGTTAATAATTTATTATATAATTCAAAAGAGCTAGATGAGAGAATTTTCAATGTTCCTAATACAAAGACATGATAAATGTTTGTGGTGATGGATATGAAAATTACCCTCATTTCATCAATATACATTGTATACATATATTGCTATCACATATACCCCATAAATATATATAATTATTTGTCAGTTTTTAAAAAGGAGGGTTTGTGTATGTAATTACACATATACTCCAAAAATAAAAATTATTTTTTACTATACAGCAAATATAAATAAGAATAAAACTAACAAAAATGTTAATAACAGACCACTGATTTATCCTGATTTTTACTCATTCCTTAGAAGTTGTTATTTCTCAGAAGTTGCTTTTATAGAGGAAAATTATCCACAGAAAGTGACAACTAGCCCACCTACTAACAGGAAGCCCTCTGCCAGAATAAAAAAAAAAAATTCTGCTCAATTGTTCCATCATTAAAAAGAAAAGGAAGAAAGAGGGAAGAAGGATAACAAAAAAAAAAAAAACAACAACAAATACTAGTGAGGATGCAGAGAAAGGGGAACTCTTATATACTTGGGAGTTCTTATACACTTGGTGGGAATATAAATTAGAACAGCCATTATGTAAAACAGTATAGAGGTTGCTATACTGTATAGAGGTTGCTAGCCAGAGTAACTTACTGGAACTGTCATGGAGATTTGGAAAAAGAGCATATTAATAAAATAGGTAAGTTTAAGATCCCATAAAGTAGTAGGGCATTTTCTACTTATGGAATATGCAAGAAGGATAACATCAAGGATTTGCCTAATTAGTTTATCTTATGTGAAAAGACAATAACAATCATGAGTAATCTAAATAGAACATAATAATAAATCAGAGAATTTTATAATGATTTAATTTCTTACTTCTTTGCTCTTTGCAACTTCTGCAATAGCAGCAGTTCTTTGTTTTTCAAATTCATCATTATCATTTGTAGGTTTGACAGGCATTGTAACTTGCAATGTCTTTCTTCGATCAAGTTCTCTGCTATCCACTTGGACATGAGATACACACTTCTGATAAAATAAATAAATATAAGTTAATTCAGTAGATCCAAAAGTGATTCTCGTTTTCATTAGAAAGTAGCATTTCTTTTTTTTTTTTTTTTTTGAGACAGAGTCTCACTTTGTTGCCCAGGCTAGAGTGAGTGCCATGGCGTCAGCCTAGCTCACAGCAACCTCAAATTCCTGGGCTCGAGTGATCCTTCTGCCTCAGCCTCCCGGGTAGCTGGGACTACAGGCATGCGCCACCATGCCCGGCTAATTTTTTATATATATATCAGTTGGCCAATTAATTTGTTTCTATTTATAGTAGAGACGGGGTCTCGCTCTTGCTCAGGGTGGTTTTGAACTCCTGACCTTGAGCAATCCGCCCGCCTCGGCCTCCCAAGAGCTAGGATTACAGGCGTGAGCCACAGCGCCCGGCCTAGAAAGTAGCATTTCTTAAAAAAAAAAAAAGATTATATCCACAACAATATCAGAGAGCCCACAAAATATAATTCTATCCCATATACTTAAAAATAAAAGTAGAAAAAGTAACTTTTAAATAAATGTAACTAGTAAATAAAATTAAAAACTACACAAATATGTAGCCATCTAAACCAGGGCACATATTTAAAATATATATTGGACTAAGAGATCTAAGTTTCATTTTAGGGTAATAACTTAAAATAATTTTAGATTTCAAACAGTCTAGACTAATGTATAATAATAGGTAAATTTGGTTTTGTAATTAAGAGGTTAATTTCCACATTATGCCACAATATCCATATGTGGGTTATGTACTACAGTTATTTTAACATATAAAAAGATCTCTCTGTGCTTATAAACCAAAGGCTAAAACATACCCTCTTCCCCATTGGGCTGCAAAGTTTTTGATTTTTGTCTCATAAAATAAATTAAGAAAGGCATCACTGCCTAAAAATAAGCCCTAAATTTTGGTCTCCATTCCAATCCTACCAGTAAACATCCTATAAAATGAACCTTTTCTCAACACATTAATAAAAATGAGGAGGAGAACTTCTCAAACAAATATATTACACAAATATAGTACACTTTCATCAATATAAATATATCATATTGATACCAACGCACAGCCCATGTACAAGGCTGTGATACGCTGCATAAGAAATTTTCAGAATGAACTTTATAAACAAATATTAAACTATACCTTTTGTTACACTTCCTAACTCAAAAAAAGCCATAAAACACACTTCAAATTCTTAAGAATAATTAGATCATAAGTCTCTCTGGGAAAAAAAAAAGTTGACTTTATGTATTAAACAATTTATGAAAGAGAAATATTATCACCAAAATGTTAAGGGGAAAGTAAATTCTCACAAATATATCATTTATTATTTTCAAATATGTTATTAGAATGTTTGTACTCTGTTTTCCTTCTGGGGAATTTTATTACACATGGATCACACTATAGATAGGACTTCATACCTCCTTTCATCTTGACTGTCTCCTGTTCCAAAACACAGTAAAAAAAATCAACCTTTTTAAAAATACTTTCAAAATAGGCACAATGCAAAGATGACTTCAATTTTGAATAGACCTTACAAAAAAGTTTTTGAAGAGGATGCCAATCAACTGATCTTGCCCATTTATATATATTCTTATAAATTAGACATCATTTTTAACCAAAAATTTAAAACACACACACACACACAAAAAAAACCTTGTTATCAAAATGTAGATGTTTCCTACCTATTTTTAGTTGGTTTTATTTTTTTTTTTTGAGACAGGGTCTCACTTTATTGGGTAGGGTAGAGTGCAATATCATCATCATAGCTCACTGTAACATCAAACTCCTGAGCTCAAGCAATCCTCCTACCCCAGCCCCCCAAGTAGCTAGGACTACAGGCACATGTCACGAAGCCCAGAAAATTTTTTGTAGAGATGGGGTTTCACTTTGTTGCCCAGGCCACTTTTGAACTCCTGGCCTCAAGCGATCCTCCCACCTTGGCCTCCCAAAGTGTTGGGATTACAGTGTTGGGCGAGCCATCACACCCAGCTTGTTTTCTACCAGTTATGTCCCCAACTCACTGTCACTCTTAGCCAGCACTCTTAAAGAAAATTAAAGAGCAAATGCAAGACAGATTACCAATAGCTAAATTCTGGGGCCATCATTAAGTGAAAAGCAAGTTACCACAGAGATTTTTCTTAGAACTGTCACAGATAAAGCAAGAAAAGGCTGGAGGACATTGTTACAAATGCAATTTAATGCTCAGGACAACCAGGAAGACATAAGTGATATTGACCAGCTGAGGAGTTACCTCAAGGTAGCACTTTGTAGCACAGGGAATTGAAAAATATGGAGTAGACAGAAAATGTTTAGTTTATGTAGGAGAAAGGTCAGAGGTGCTTGGTTGAATAGGAAAATATCAACTGGAATAAAATTAATACCTATTCCTGACTGAGATAGGTATTTGAAATGAGGAAGACAAACAGAATCTTGGATGGAACAATGGGAAAAGTAGGCTCTCCTAAAGTACAATGAAGCTCTTTCCTGCTTATTGTGTTCTCACCTTTGTCTGATCACTCTGTGCAGCTTTACTTTTCTCTGCCCCCTCTTACGTTTTTAATGAAAATGATAAATTATGGCATATTTTTATGATCCTACATTTGAATTTCCCTTAAAAAAATAAAACCCCCTCCTATCTTAATTATTTGTAAGTTGCTCTTCAAATATGGCTCTTAATTGCTTCGATCTCTGGGTTAATAGCTCTTGAGAACACCAACAATTTAATTACAGTAAAGAAAAAAATACAAAATTATTAACTTCCTTGAACTTCATATTTCCATATAACTCTCTGACCTCTAAACAAATAGTTCAGCACAAAACAAAACACAGCTTGAATACAAATGAAAAATACCTTTTCCTGACTTAAATTTATTTGCCAACATCAAAGTTATTACCTGTCCAAAAGGCACAAAAGGAGGTGGTCCACCTTCGGTTCCAATATTGCTTCTATTGTGTTTTGATAAGCTCTGTGAAAAAAAAATTCAGTCATAAAACAGAAATTATACATAAAAAATACATTTGCTACATTGATAATGTAACAGGCTACTTCTTTTAGTAGATTCTTACAAGAAAATAGGGGGGGGGCAGGGAAGGCCTTCTAAAAATTATTTCGAACTACATAAAATATTTTATTCCTAACTTCAACAACTATGGAAAGACTCTCCCCTCATCTCCCCTTACCAAAACACACATTCACTCATAATTTTCAGAAATATTTATCAAGCTGTTCTCCTAAGGAGAAAGCAGTTCTCTTCAACAAGTAGCAAATTCAAAGATAACAAACTCTGGTAACAAGAATTCCATTTTAAAGCATATTAAAACTATAAACTAACAGATAATTACCTGGAAATTACCTTCAAAATGAAGTTTTTAGACATAAAATTTATTAGCAAACAACATACTAAAAATGTAATTTCTAATTGTTAATAAAGAGATCAAGTTGTTATAGTTCAATTACAGTAAAATGCTCTTAATTATTTTTAATTTTTTTTATGGTCAAGTGAGGCAGTGTTTGTGGAGAGGGAACAAAGGAATCAGTAACCAGTTGTGATCAATTAGTTGTAAACACCACTGCACTCAGATCAACCTTAATAATGCTTTATGTTTTATAAAGCAATACATATATTGAAGAGGTATTCAATTGTTTTTAAATAAAAATAAGCTTCCAAACCCTACAAAGTTTAGCTTTCTTTTTTCTGAATTCTCATAGGTAGAAAGCTAACAATGTATTATGAAAATGGAAAGACAATATCCTCCTAGCAAAAGGAATTTTTTACATTATAAAATCCTTTCTAAAATACTATAAGGAATCTTCAGGACTTCTTTCAGTCGTCTATTCTTTCTATTTATATATCTGTTAAGCACTAGTTGTTATTTAATACATCTTCTCAACTTTGAACTTTTTGTGCCTTTTAATAATTATCATTATAGAAACAATTATGATTAAAATATGACATAAAATAGTAGATGCCAAAGTTGAAAAAAAATCACCAAGAATTTTCCAGAGTTTCAAGGATATTCCAGAGTTTCTGAATTACATAAATAATACTATATATTTTATGTAAGTTTTATAAATATTAAGACTAATGACAACTGTAACAATCAGTTTACTGAGCAAAGAATACTTTAAACTGTATATGAATGCCACATTTCTTTACAACCTATATTTAAAATATTAAGCTGATTTTAAAAACAACAACAAATGTATAAAGTTATCCAGATGCCCTTTGCTCAGTATTAATTTAGATTTAAAAAAGATTCAAACAGTTATAAATCATATCAATTTGTACAATAATTTCCTTTAAAAGCTCACATAAGGCTGGGTGCAGTGGCTCACGCCTGTAATCCTAGCACTCTAGGAGGCCAAGGTGGGCAGATCGCTCAAGGTCAGGAGTTTGAAACCAGCCTGATCAAGAGCCAGACCCCTTCTTTACTAAAAAAATACAAAGAAATTAGTTGGCCAACTTAAAAACATATAGAAAAAATTAGCCGGGCATGGTGGCACACGCTTGTAGTCCTAGCTACTCGGGAGGCTGAGGCAGAAGGATTGCTTGAGCCCAGGAGTTTGAGGTTGCTATGAGCTAGGCTGACACCATGACACTCTAGCCTGGGCAACAGAGTGAGACTCTGTCTAAAAAAAAAAAAAAAAACTCACATAAGCTGCCAATAATACCATCTGTCAATAACATTATATAATTAAAAACATTTTGCAAGATTTCTACTTTCTGCCCTGTTAAAGGTACAAGAGCCACACTTAATCACCCTATAAAAATAACTAGCAATCTGGACAATGTATAAGAAACAACTTTTTTTTTTTATTATATTTTTTAATTTTTATACCAACTGATGAGTGAAGGAAACAACTTTTTAAGACACAGTACTATTATACCTGAGAGAAAGAGAGAGAGACAGAAAAAAAAAAAAAAGGAAGAAAAAACAGGTGAGCTCTGGCTTTCTGTTTGGAGGCATGACACAGACAGAGGTTACCAGAGAGATGAGTAGAAAACACCAATCTGATAGCTCAAACAGGCTAAAGCAACTGGAAGTTGTGGGGCAGAGTTTCAGAAAGAGAAACCTATATAGAAAAGCAGCTCCAGAAACCTTCATAGGAGTTCCCTTGTGTCACTGCTAAGAACTAGTCTAAGTAAAAACCAACTGAGATTTATAAGCTCAACAATTCCTAGAGCTCACAAAGGGTAAAGAGACAATCCAGCCCTGACCACTCAGCCTAGAGAGTCTCTGGTGATCATTCAGAGCAATGAGTAGAAACCCAAAGAACTAAAAAAATATTTGGAGCAAAGGCTACTCTAGATGCTCCTTTCAAAGCTTGAATACATGTCTCTAACAAGTCAAACTGATCAAAAGTAAGTTAACCATTTGCCAAAACTAGTTTCTATAGTCATTAAAGGAATATACAACATCTAGACTCTCAACAACCAAATACATCACAATGTCCAGCATCTAAGCAAAAACAACAAGGCATGTCAAGAAAGGAAAATGTGATCTGTAATCATCAGAAAAATTAATAAAAACAGAGCCATAGATGAGAAAGATGACAGAACTAGCAGAGTATTAAACACCTACTAAAACTATGTATATTTAAAAGAAAATATGAATTCAATGGGAAAATAAATAGAAAATATTATAAAAATGAAATGAAATTTTTAGATAAGAAAAAACTATCAGAAATGAAAATCTCATTAGATGAGATTATGAATGAGAAAATTAGATATTTCAGAACAAAAAGTTAGTGAATTTAAAGGTGTAAAGATCCCTGAAACCCAGGAGTTTGAGGTTGCAGTGAACTATGATGATAACACTGCACTCTAGCCTGGGCAACAGGGTAAGACCCAGTCTATAAAAAAATTTAAAAAAATAAAACATTATGCTTCTGTACACTAACAATAAACAATATGAAAAAAATTAAGAAAACACAATTCCATTTACAATAGCATCAACAAGAATAAAATACTCAGAAATAACTTAACCAAAAAGGCAAAAGACTTGTATACTGAAAACTCCGAAATATTGCTTAGAAATTAAAGATAAATAAATTTAAGGACATCTAATGCTCAAGGATTGAAATATTTTATATTGTTAATATGTCAATACTATCCAAAGCAGTCTACAGATTCAATACAATCCTTATCAAAATCCCAATGATATTTTTTGCAGAAATAGGAAAATAATTCCTAAATTTTATATGGAATTTCAAAAGGCCCTGAAGAGTCAAAACAATCCTGAAAAAAGTCTCACATTTCCCAATTATAAAACTTAATAAAAAGTTACAGTAATCAAAATGGTATAGCATAAAGACAGACATACAGACCAATGAAACAGAATAAAGAATCCAGAAATAAATCCTGGCATATATGGCCAAATGATTTTTGACAAAGATGAAGACCATTGATTGGTAAAAGAACAGTGTTTTCAAAAAGTGCTGTTGGAAAACTAGCTATTCACATGCAAAAGAAGTTGGCCCCTTAATTTACACCAAATACAAAATATACTCAAAATGGCTCAAAAACCTAAGCGTAAAAGCTAAACCTATAAAACTCTTAAAAACTTTTGTACGTCAAAGGATGCCACCAACAGAGTGAAAAGGCAATCTATAGAATGGGAAAAAATATTTGCAGTTCATTTATCTTAGAATGGGCTGCTATCCAGAATATATAAATAACACATATAACAACAAAACACAATATGATTAAAAAATGGGCAAAAAACTGGAATAGAAATTTCTCCAAAGAAAATACAAATGGCCAATAAGCACACAAAAAGATGCTCAATGTCACTAAGCATTTAGGGAAATGCAAATCAAAAACAATGAGATTCTATTTCACACACATTAGGATGACTACCATCAAAAAGACATAAAATAACAAGTGTTGGTGAGGATGTAAAGACATTGGAACCCCTATGCACTGCTGGTGAGAATGAATGTAAAATGGTATGGCCACTGTGAAAAACAACAGTAAGGCAGTTCCTCACAAAATCAAAAACAGAATCACCATATAATTCAACAATTCCACTTCTGGGTATATACCCAAAAGAACTAAAACCAAGATCTCAAGATATTTGTACACCCATGTTCATAGCAGCATTATTCACAAGAACCAAAACGTGGAAAACAACATTGATAGATAAATGAACCAAATGTGATATACATATACACTAGAATACTATTAAACCTTAAAAAAAGGAAGGAAATTCTGACACAGGGTATAACATGGCTGAACCCTAAAGATATTATATTAAGAGAAATAAGTTAGGCACAAAAGAATAAATACTGGATGATTCCACATACATGAGTTACCTAGAGTAGTCATATTCATAGAGACAGAAGGTAAAAAGGTGACTGCCAAAAACTGAGAAGAACAGGGAATCAGGAATTCTTCTTTAATGAGTACAGAGCTAAGTTTGGGAAGATGAAAAAGTTCAGGAGGTGAAAGGTAATGACAGTTGTGCAACAATGTGAATGTACTTAATGCCACTGAACTTTACATTTGAAAATGGTTAAAATGTTAAATTTTATGTTATGTATACTTTACCACAATAAAAAAAGAAATAAGAAAAAAAACAGATCTGTAATTTGGGGGCACTAAAATGTTACAGAATTATATTACTTTGTAAATTACATCTGGTACAGAATTCCCTAGAACCATACAAACACACACAACACTTAAGCTTTGAGGTTTTTTGTTTCTTCCTTGCTTCACTTTTCTGTAATCAACTTCCCACAGCTACAATGCCTGTATGTAGTTAACTGCCCAATGCTCCCTTTGCCTATTTGACAAGCATGTTTAGAGCTCCTTTCCTTCCAAAATTAACTCTATGGTTTACAATTTCTATGTTTACATTTTATTTCTATGTGTACATCTGCCAGCTGCTCAAGTAATTGTACTCTCTATGTTTCCTACATTGCTATGGTTACCAGATCAAAAAACTATAAAACCAAAGAGAACTATGATCATATTAAGATATTTTTAATTAACCACTTCAGTACCGCACTCACCGGCCGTGAAATCTTGCCTACAACCGGCACTCATAATCCGCACAATAGTTTGTGCTGTGCATTGACGACAAATCCGTTTTGCTCTTGTGTGATGAGGAAAGCTTTAAAGCACTGAAAGCTTGTTTTACTTTACAGGCAGCTTTACTTGTAATGTAAATCAGAATAGGTAACATATACATAATATGTTTTCATTATGTTATTTTTAAATGTTCACAATTTTATTTTGATAATTGAAAAATTAGAAAAGTCATATCATGGCTGTTGGCTAAAGTTGACACTCGGCTGTGCACGTTCATCTGTGGCTGTCAACTATAGTCAACGCTTGTACCGAAGTGGTTAAACTATTTTAAAAGTAAATTTTTATCACTCCCTTATAAGAAATACTAATGTAGCTTTCAGAAAGCAAAGTACAGAGACATAGAGACATATAATAAAATATTTCAAGGACAACTATTAAACTAAACTACATGTGTGTGTGTTGAGCGTAAGGAGGTTCCTAGAAATGTTTAGCTGACTTTACAATTATTAGGAAGATGGTTCTGGCTGGGCTGTGGAAAAATTATGTAAGGTATTGGTCTGACTTGAGCACATTTTACCACACTTTAAAAAATCTCTAACAACAACAAAAATACAACATATAAACTTATGAAAGGATTACATAAAATGGGTGAGGTTTCTCCAGGAAATTCACAGTTCGTAAACTTGGCTGTTAATGTAAAACTACTAAGCCACTTCTGAATTACTTTCTTTTGTGACATTTTCAAACAATGTAGTTGTGGAACATTACCCTATATTGCATAGTACAGGAGCCCAATGTAGCACATTAGTATCATAAGGAATAAGTACTAAGAAATAAAAACATTCTTATCCATTTACCTCCCAAACACAGGTACTTTCCAACTAAAAAAATAGGAGAGAGTAATGTATCATAAAATACCAAAAACTTGAAATATTACTGGCTGGCTTTAAACAAGAAGCAAAATTTGAGGGTGGCATAAGAACATCAATTTCAGCTCAAAAAGTATTTAGCTTTGAAATTCATTTACTCCACAAATTATTTTTTTATGATGTCTATTAGATATAAGGCTCAGGACTACCATTTTGGAGATAGAGGATGGCTGTTATGATATAATGGGAAAAAATAGTCTTGGATTCTGCTCAGATTCATCACCTATTAGCTGTCTAATCATAAAGTTATCTAATAGTTCTTAAAAGTCCATTTTCTAAATCAATATAAACACAATACCCCTTACAAAACTATTAGGAGGATAACGTGAGACACAGATGAAAGAGCCCAGCACAACATCTATATACAGTGTTCAACAAATATTTGTAGAATTGAACATAGATAATACAAACAAGAATTCTGACCTCAAAAGGCTTACAATCTATTAAAGGAGATGAGAAATAAACATGACTTTGGAGCTAGGTAAAAAGTAACACGCTATTAGTAAGAACAAAGTGTTCAGAGTATTCAATAAAGGAATAATAACTTCACTTCCTGAAGAAACATGTGCTTGATCTGGGTCAAAAGGCATGGGGATCCTTTGGCCACACACAGATTAAGAGAAAACAAGATGAATGGTGTAAAAGTGGGAAAATCTTTTCTTTTTTTTCCCAAAAGTATAACTGAGGAAAGTCATAGAGAATCCAAAAGAGAGGAAGTAGTTCCATTTGGCTAAAACAAAATCTATGTGGAAGAATTTAGAAAATTGAAAAGGTAAACTGAAAGTAGGGCTAGATTATAAACAGCCTTGAATCCTAAATTAAGGCATTCGAAATACAAGCGGGGTATAACAGGTTTTAACTATGCCGAAGGAAGAAAATATGGCAGAAAGACATGAAATAAATTAGAAGATAGAGAAAGGATACATGGAGACACAGTTAAAAGGCTACTACATTAGTACAGGCAAGAGATACTAAAGATCTAAACTACAGTAACAGCAATGGAACCGGAGAGCAAGGGATGATATGAGATTTGACTGTAGTGGACAAAAGAATTATTTGCTAGAAGCAAAGTAGCAGAACAATTACAAGATAACCTACATGACTGGGAGGATGAAGACACTGCTAACATACATGGGGGAAAACATCAACTAATGTGACTAGAAAGTCAAGAGCAACAAGACCCCGCCATTATAGTGAAATCTAACTTGCTCTCATTTGCATGTATGTGTGTATATGTAGATGGGACAAATACACATACATTATATTCATATATATGCACAAACACTTGTTTTTTACAGAAAGAATTATACACAGATACATTATACACAGCTTATAATTGTTTTCTTGGTAGTTTTAAAACGTGTCAGTAAGGAATGATTTTTAAAAGTATGTAATAAAATGGTAATACATAAAAATTATATCTGCTTTAGAGGAACAATATGCTTAGAAAAAGATAGTTTTTCTAAGGATAATCATATTCCATTCTATTCAACCCTGACACAAAAGACTAAGTTTACTATCCACTATAGGAAATGCTCTTTAAAATATGACAATACAATAAAGAGTATAGTGTTTTAAAAGTTTTAGCCATTTTTCTTAATTTACACTTACTCTCTGTAATTCCCATTTCTCAATAAGGTGCTCCACTTCACCGCCAAGAACTGTGGTATTTGAGTCATTCAAGAGTAGGAATCCATTTTTTATGTCAACAATGCCTGAGAGCTTAACCTTAGTTCCAGGTGGTGTGTTCAGGCTAAAGCAAAAAAAGAGTTAAAAGTGAAAAACACATTGAAGCTCCTCCCAAAACTAAAAATCAGTCTCATATTATAACTTAATCAAGTTCCTCAAAATGCACTGGCACCAAAACTATTTTTCAGGAGACTGGCTACATAATATAAACACATCACCAGAGAGGAAGTTAGAAGACCAGGAACAAGATTGACATTTTCTAGCTTCATCACAAAGAAATAAGCTTTATTTTTCCCATGCCAAAAAAAAAAAAAAATGTGGACAATTATCACACCTCACAAAGTTGTAGAAAAGGTACATAGAATGAAAGATTTGCCTTATTTTTTCCCATGAGCTTTGTGCATTGCAAAAATATACTATGTTATAAAATTAAATCTCGATACAGAAAAAGATTTCTGGCTGGTAATAATCCTTAAAATTTAACATCTATATGAGCTAAAGTAATCCATACAAAATAATGCTCTTTGTTGTTAAACATTTAGTCAAAGATCAAATGAGAATTATTAACACAATAACTTTTAAAAGATTTTTACACACTAACTTTATATATTAATTTTAAAGGAACACTCCTATAATAAGCTAATAGTATCCAATTTGGAGCAAACATTATACCATGACTCTTTTTACAAAAACCAAAAAAAAGATGTTTACTGTCCTACCAATCTTTTGGTAAAGGAAACAAGGAAAGAAATTCATTTCATCACATAGGATTGTTCTAAAGTAAAAACATACATAGTGAGCCCTACCTCATCTCTTCTACATACAGCAAGAAGTAAAGTACTCCAAATGTTTGCTGAGTAGTTATCTTAGAAGAAAAGTGAAAGAACTCTCCTAACATTGGTCCTAAAACACTTAGGATGAAACAGAAAATTATTCTGAAATGGGTTCACATTGTTCACATTTTAAAAGCTTGTGAAATTCACCCTGTGCTGATATATGCAACAGCAAAACAGTTAGATTGTTAATATCTGGGGTTTTTTTCTTTTTGGAGAAAGACAGTTAACAGCTAACATGAAGAGTTAGAGGATGTCTGTTTTTAAAGCTTTAAAGAGCCCATACAGAGTAAGACAGATTATATACTAAAAATTATCCTTTATACCATATAATTTTCTGGATAAACACACTATTATACACACAGCTACTGAGCTATCAAGAAAGAAACAGTAACATTTTTTAATTTCTGTGTGTTCTGAACAATTAAATGACTTGAAACTGCTGACAAAACTGAAAAGATTACTTTTCATGCAAATATACCTTAAATTTCTGTTTTCGCAATTAACATTGAACCAATAAGTAACCAACTCCATTAAAGCAGAACTGCAAAGCTCTGTAATTTCATCTGAAAAGTTACAACATGCAATTAAGAATTAATTCCTTTTCAAAGTTCTTAAAACAAATCCTTCAAACACTGTGTAGCAAATATACAAAATAAAGTGCCAATCACCTTATTTTGGACATATAACTAAATTCTACTGCTGTGCAACTTATATGACCATCAGTCATCTGCAATCGCAGCATCCTTGGTGCAGCCTGAGATTCTTCGTTATCCTTTGGTGCAGCAACATTGCGAATTTTTTGAATTTGCAAAACACATGGACCTTCAAGCTGTCAAAACACAAAAGAAAAAAAATTACTTTCTAGTCACAGCTGTTTTCATTTATAGTGTTTCTGTTTTCCTTAATGGTCATGCTTTATGATTCATAATGATTAACTTCAATTAAGGTCAAAACTAAAATTATATAGATTGGGTGTTTTTTGGAGGGGGTTGGTATTTACAGATAAAACTTCAAAAGAATATCCTGAAGAACAATTTTTTTATATATAATTCTGAATTCATTTTCAGATAATAACAAGAAAGCCCTAGGAAAACCAAGTTATTCTGGATGAAGGTATATTAATTGATGCTTTTAGTCTTATGTGATCTAAATCATACACATACATCCCATTTCTCTCCCAATATATAGTAAGGATGGTTTGAAAATAAAGAACTTGGTAATTTTTTAAGGGACATCAACTATATGGCAGCAGTTCAAACAAATGTTTTCTGTTTAGATACCAAGTTTAAAGTGCACCCTCTTCTGGTATAAATGAAGAATGCAATACCCCCAAAACTATAAAGTTCAAGAAGTGTGAGTTGTACTTGACTTATTTACATTAAATCTAATGCTGTATTATTTATGTATGTTGGCAGTAGGGAGAAAAAATGTTCTCTCTGGCCAAATATCAATCAAAGAAAAATAAAATGATGAACTAACTAGCTATAAAGTTAAAAGTTTTATATAATAAAATGCTTACAGCAAAGTTGGGAAATGACAGCAAAATCTGCTTATGTGTCTGAAAAATAAATTTAATTAAAGTAACAATTTCTACATCTTTAAGTAGTTCATACTTTGTAGGGGGGAGGCTACTTTTTAAAAATATATAGTCTTTCAAGTAAAATCATTTTGTGCATATTGAATTAATTTATATTTTCAGCAAAGAGAAATGTAAAATGATTGACAAAATTTTACACTTAATTTCGCAAGCAAGCATGTTCCCAAGTTGAAAATTTTCTACTCCACATTTACCAGTATTTTGCCTCCAAAGAGCTAATTCTAAATTCAGGCTCAGAAAATATAATTTAAAAAAATAATCTAAAATTTCATTTAATTTCCAGTTATGAATAAAAAATTCCAAGTTGAAACAAGTCCAAAACCCTTAACAAGTATAGATAAGCTCCTAATTCAAAATGAACTTTTTCTTTTACTTTTGTTAACGTCATTAAAATAAGGACATTTAAATTAAATCACAGGCAGGTTATGGTTATTGTAACATTCATCATTCTCTTTATTTTGGTACTCCCAATATCTTCAGCTGAGGCATCCAAGGGTGGGGAATCTGCAGCCTTCTGATTTCAAGATCGTTCATTTTAAGTACCAAAAGAGGCAAGAAAAGCTTCATCTTTCTTTGTTGCACCCCTTATAATAAAAGGATTTGTTCTATAAAATTTGAATTTAGTCAAAAGGCCACACCTAAGGACCAAGAAGGCCACATGTGGCCTTCAGATTCTCCATGGTAGAATGTGTTCCAATGTAAGACACACAACCACAGGGACTGTACTTCCACTGAAATGTAGGAGGGAAACATTTGTTTCTATTTAATTGTTAGTAAGAAAAAAAAATCAAACTTTACTAATATTCAAATCCAGAGCAACAAGGACACCCTCATTCAGTCTACACAACCCAAGTCACAAGGTATCTTTAGAATTTGGGGAGTGCTACCTCCCATGGTTATTGACAAGACACCTTCACTGGTTTGTTTGCTTTCAACATGTTGTGACAAACCACCTTTTATTTGTGCACAGTTAAATGGATATATGAATTATATTACCTAGTTTTAACCCCTAATGCTCACAAAATGGATAAGTCACTTTAAAAGTTTCTGCGAAAGAAACACAAACAGAAGGTAATACCAATGATGCAAATACAGGGTAGAAATAGGACTATTTTGTTTATTTCCTACATCTAGTTGACCATGAGAACAAAAATGGGGAATGAATGACAGGGATGAACCCTTGTGCCCAACTCCTATGTTTCCTAGCAAGCAGCAAGTTTACTGTACTTAATTCAATTTGGGCTTCTCGATCCCTTTGAATAGTGGCCCCTGCAAAAGATAAGTCTACCTGGAACCTATAAATATGACCTCATGTGAGAAAAAAGCTCTTTTCACATGTAATTAAGGTAAGGATCTAGGATGAGAACATCCTGGATTAGGGTAGGACCTAAATCCAATGATGTGTCCTTAGAAGAGAAGGGGAAACAAACAGAGAGAGACAGGATATAATGACCATGTGAAAATGGAGGCAGAAATTGAAGTGACACATCTACAAGCCAAGAAAGGACGACTGCCTACAGCTAACAAAAGCTAGGAGAGAAGCACAAAACAGATTCTCCCTCAGAGCTTCCAAAAGGAACAAACCAACTCTGCTGACACCTTGATTTTACACTTCTGGCTACAGAACTGTGAGAAAATAAATTTCTACTGTTTTAAGCTACCAAATTTATGGTAATTTGTTACAGCAGCCTTACCTACTTAGGGAATGACTATCTTGCTGGGAAGAATATATTGTATACTTGTCTCAGCCTCCCTATTCTTCTTCTTGAGATCTAATTAGGGACCATGATGAAGAAGTCACTTATTTGGCCTCCTCACTAGATTGGCACTTCCCTAAGTGAATGTACAAGTCTGCATGTTTAGTGATTCTGTTAATGACTGTCTCACTAAGCCGTATCTTCCAAATAAACTTTTATCAGTAATAAAGTTGATATTTTGGCACACATCTGCCATTCTTTTACGTCCCAACTGGTTCAAAGGCAAGTTAGAAAAGGTGGTACTATTTATTAGAACCTCCTGAGAAACCCCCAAATTATATATAATCTTTTAATTGTCACATCACAATTTGAATCATCAAGCCTTAAGATTAGTGGTTCCACAAAATGTCAAAAAAAAAAACTTTTATCAGGTGGTGGGCAGGTGGGAGGGGGGGAGGAGGGGAAGGGTGTATACTTACATAATGGGTGTGGTGCTCACCACCTGGGGGTTGGACATGCTTGATGCTCTGGCACATGGGGGGGAGGGAGGTGTAGCAGGGGCAATATATGTAACCCTAACAATATTTGTACCTCCATAATATGATTAAAAAAAAAAAAAAGATTAGTGGTTCCACAATTCAGAAAGTCTAAGTAAACCAGTAGATATAATTAATTTTTTCACTATTCTGCTTATTCATTTTATTATCTTCTATAGTTAAAGCATAGGGAAATACTAGACTTAAATAAAATATATATAATAGAATAAAACACTATGGTTCTAAGATCCTAAATCCTGATTCTACAATCATCTAAAAACATCCATGAAAATAGGTAAGAATTTCAAAATCTTTGTTTAACTACAGTCAAAGACAACCCTGAAGTAAAAAGGTAACAATTTTAAATGAAAATAATAAAAAATTAATTATTATCTACTCAAGATTTCTTTAATGTCTGATTTTTTCTTCTGTATGAACAATAAGGAACAATTACTCTAAAAATTTTTTAAAGGTAAGAAGAATTTATCATTGTACATCCAGGTAAACATCTCTAACTCTATTAAATAATATCAAGTATATGTCAGAAATATTCTGTTAGGCCATTCATCCCTTCCTCTCCTTAGGTAGATGGACACCTCTGTCATCTAAACTCCTAAATAGTCACACCAACTGATATAGAATATTGTATTTAAATGACTATTATTAGTTTATCAATTTATTGATCATATTAAATAACATTCTTGTGTATCAATTAGACCCTTCAAAGTTTAGACAACATGGAACTCGTTCTCTATAGTGTGATTATACCTGCATGAACAGCTAAATTAAGAGTATCTGTCAGAAATATTCTGTTAGGCCATTCATCCCTTCCTCTCCTTAGGTAGATGGACACCTCTGTCATCTAAACTCCTAAATAGTCACACCAACTGATATAGAATATTGTATTTAAATGACTATTATTAGTTTATCAATTTATTGATCATATTAAATAACATTCTTGTGTATCAATTAGACCCTTCAAAGTTTAGACAACATGGAACTCGTTCTCTATAGTGTGATTATACCTGCATGAACAGCTAAATTAAGATTTTTTAAGACTCCTTTCACCATTATATAATGACAGTCTATGTCTTTCCTTACTTTTGTTGATTTGAAGTCTATGTTATCTGCTATGAGAATAGCTACACCAGCTTTCCGTTGGTTTCTATTTGCATGGAACATTGTTTTCCATCCCTTCATCTTGAGTCTAGAGGATTCCTTGTGGGTTAGATGTGTTTCCTAGAGACAGCAGATACATTGCTAGTATTGTTAATCCACTCAGCCAGCTTATGTATCTTCAGTGCAGAGTTCAAGCCATTCACATTTATTGCGAGAACTGATAAATGGGGTGGATTTCTGTTCATCCTGTTGCATAGAACTTTATTGCTTTGGTTTTCCTTTTGAGCCATTGTGGTATCTGGGCTCTGAACTTTAGCTTTTGGATGGTTTTACATTGCTGGTATCTAGTGTGCTGATCAACGTATAATGCAGATCTGCGTACTTCCTGCAGGGTAGGTCTGGTCTTGACAAATTCCCTCAACGTTTGTTTGTCTGAGAAAGCATTTATTTCTGCCTCATATAAGAAACTTAGTTTTGCAGGATACAAAATTCTAGACTAGCCATTATTCTATTTGAGAAGACTAAGAATGGGGACCCAGTCCCTTTTGGCTCATAAGGTCTTAGTTGAGAAGTCTGCAGTTAGTCTGACATGTTATCCTTTGTGAGTTACCTGAAGCTTTTGCCTTATAGCCTTACAGTTCGTAGGAGTTCCTCTTTCGTGTTAAGAGAAAAATTTAACAGGTAGACATAACAATCCTAAATATCTATGTACTAACACAAGGGCACCCTGATTCATAAAACAAATCCTACTTGATATAAACAAAATGATAAACAGCAGCATTGTAATAGCTGGGGACTTCAACACCACACTGATAAAATAGGACAGATCCTCCAAACAGAAAATAAACAAGAAACAATGGACTTAAACAAGACTCTAGAA